CACGGGATTTGTCCACCCATGAAATCTTCGCTTTTGAGTGTTTTCATGACAAGACATGTGCCAGGCTATGCTCCAGAAGCGTCAGTACTGAGGTTCCCAAGTAGCTGGCTGGGCAGGAACCACTGAGTAACGGATGGGAACAGGGAGGAACACTCTGGAACCATTGGCATGTGCTCGCTCCGAAACCTGTAGGAGATGTGTAGCCCACAGAACAAGTGGAACATGAAGTCTACTCTATTCCCGTTCACAGAACTAGACGGGGACAGACTGGAATCCTGTTGTGGCGTGTTGGACATGGGATGCGTAACGTGTTCTGATCAGATGATTACTGGAAGGGGCTGGGAACATCACATCTTGATGGTTCCACGCCGTCCCAGGCATTCCGGATAAGGGATGGTCACTAAGTGAGGGTCCGATCACTTGGACCTACACTAGTCGGCTCTTGGAACAAGTACCCATACTGGGAAGTACTTCGAATGCGGTATCTCTGAAGAGCTACAGACTGGGAGCTTCTGTTCCAGACGTTCCGATAGACGGGAAGGCACGGGCATTGGGAGGAACAGCATATACAGTCAGGATCAACATAGGGGATCAGTTGTGATGGTTCGGGCACAGTCTGACTGATTGTACATGTGCACAGGATCACACCAGGATGGCATGCTCGACATGGGCAGCCAATGGAAGGACTCAGATACCCATTCCTACGACGGATACATGGAAGTCAGACGGATAAACAGACTATTTTACTCATACTTACTTATTCTCGGACATTTCCATGTGTTTCAGGGCTTCGTATTTAGTAGCAGGGGGCATCTTGGGCGGCTTAACAGAATCACCCCACAGCTAGTAGGCAGAAACACTTGTGAATTGGGCAGATACCGGGGAGTTCGAACAAGGTGTCTCTTAGAATTCATCTTGGCTTGGAATCTTTTCTTTGTTATCGGTATCCTTGAGATCCGACTTGCTGCTTGTCTGGAATAGTCTGAAAGTGACTGGAACTGTTGGAATTGTGCTGAGTACGCACTTGGTTGTTTGGGTTGTGTTGTGAAGAGCTTGGGATCGGAACCCACTACTGTTAAAGAGCTTGGGATCGGAACCCACCACTGTCTGAAGTGCTTGGGATCGAAACCCACTACTGTCTGTACTGTCTACGCTTGGAATCGGCATCCACCTCGCTTTGGAGAACCCCAGCAACTTGTTCTCGTTTGTTTTCATAGCTGAGAAGCTTTACATCATCGCGCTACTGTGCTTCCTGTTTGTCCGAGTCTAGCCTCGTTCAATCAGATCTAGCCAGAACACTTGCACAGCAAGGGTTCCATTCGCATCAACACTCTCGTTGTGTTCCACTAGCTTTCCTGTCTGTTCCAGTTCCATTCCGGTTCACTCAGAACAAGGCTCAAGTACTTGGACTTCGTTCCAAGGACTTCTATAAAACAATACAACACTCTCTCCTTGTTTCCGAGGTCTATTCCATTCCCTGCAACCTTTTATAAGGCCCTGTACCAGGGTCTGATACTCATCTGTGCACGTCTCGAGCACTTCCGTTCCGTTCCGACGCACTTCTGTGGGTAGGTTTGGTTTTGGTTGGTGTTTTCTTGATAGGTTCAGAGCACATTGATCATCGGATCCTTCCTACGATGTGTGTGGCTGCCGGCGAGTGACCTTCTAGCCACCAACAAATGAGACTGATGCTCTCCCCACCACATGGATCGTGCACTTCACTACCTGACCACATCAGAAATTTTTCAGAAGTCTGACTCAATCAGACGGGGAAAGTGCTCAATTGATGCAGGGAAAGCACACGGTTGAGCTGTAGACCCTCTTGTATATATCTGAAAGGACAGAATTGGGGCGAGCTCTGTATCCTTCCAATTTTTCATATGACGCCCCAAAGGGGTTGAAGGGATGAGGAAATTTTGGGTACTGGTCATCATCAATGATGTACCATGCGTGAATCCCCGGTTCAATCATTACCTAATTTTCTTCGCTGGGTTGCTGGAACCAGCTGGAACTTTGGAATCTTTCCCAGAGGCAAAAGGACTGAATGGAATGCTACATATATACTTACTTGAAATTTGCTTGTTGAAGTCCAAGGAACAGGCCATGCCCGAATTTTGTTCAAAGCCAAGGTCTGAATTGGAAATGTAAGTAATGATGAGATGTGAGGATGGGTGGAGTGTGGCCAGACACAGCAGTACAGGCTGATAAGAGGTGTAGACCTTTGAGGAAGCTGAAGACACGACCGGTACGTGTCTTCTGGCATTTACAACATCTGACAACCGTGATCACGATTTGATGCCATCACTGTCCATTCAATCTAACTGAGGCATGGTGAGCGCTCAGCACACCTTTATCCACAGGGCTCAGGCTGCTACAGAAATTGACCTATATGGATTCACACACACATCAGCAGATAATTATCCGCATGGAAAGCCAGCTGTGGCTTTGTGTGACACATGTCTTACAGGCTTCACCAGGCTGGAGGTAAGCATGCATGGACATTGTGTCTGGCACAGCTATGAACGACGGGAGGCGCCGACTCGGGCCCTCCCCGTGTTGTAACCCTTCATCTAGGGCCCATGTCACCCTTGGATGGGGACTCTGCAGCACTGTCACGTGCCGTGACTTCACATCCTTTTCAGACGCCATCGGACTCCGACGATCTCCGATCCCGATTATATCCGACACTGCCTTTCTGCATTCACCCTTGTTCTATTGGTTCGTACTGTATATGATTCCTTCTGACTCCTATGTTACACCTTATGCTTCTCCATCACGGAGCCATCGGAGACCCGATGATATCCGAGTCAGCTTGACTCCACTTGACTCATAACGACTCGGTCCATCATGGACCCACTCGGAACTCTGAAGCTCCGGTACTTACATTATATCCCCACTAATACCTTACTCTCGTATAAATACAAGCCATGTCGGTAGTTAGACTTCAGTTTGAATATCGACTTAGTCTGCCCTATACTCTTCCTCTCGGACTTCTGTCCTCCTCCGAGTCCCTCTCCGAAATCGGGCACCAGGCATAGAGAAGGGCGCAGCGCACGAGCTGAAGCCAAGCCCCTTCACTTCCAGTATACGGGTTCGGTATTCCGTTCGGACTCCGATACTTTCCCTCTACATCTCGACCCCCGTGTCTTGCTTATACGCACTTCATTCCCTCAGGCGTATCTCGGACCTCTGTCGGATCCCGATCGGGAACTGGTACTTGACAAGCACCGAGACCGTGGAGCAGTTATATGCGTGCTCAGGCATCCAGTGGGTCCGGGGCGGGGGGTTCCCTCCAAGTAGATCTTGTCTCACAACATCGTAGTTCGTGTGCAAGTAAAGATGATATTAGGTAACTACTGATCTTGGATCAGCTACCCGTTCACTAGTATGTACACTAAGTAGAATTATGTATGTATTATTGTCCTTGTGCAGTGGTGTCTAGCAGTGTCCTGTCTGTACCCCGTCACACTTTGATTTAAATGTGAACAGCAAATATTCACAGTGGTTGATGTCTGGAATACAATGTCTCTCTTGAAAAGTTGAGTTCAATAATGAGGTGTCTCTGTTTCCAAGTTGTCACTGTGGATTGAACACGGAACTCATAGTGTTATGGGTGTTGGAGGGAAATGTGCTCTCTTGAATCTTCACATGCTTCGGAATCTTCGGGTAATCTTGATGCGGTCAGAGATCTTCAAACAAGGGAACGAGGGGAACGGCAAAAAGAATGGCATCTCCGTGGCTTGAACACGGGACCTTCGCCGCGTGTGGGGGGTTCGATCCACAGCGCTTGCGCCGGGGTGAGAACCTGGTGCCGATGGAGCCGCAGGCGACCGGCATGCTGAGCCGTAGGCGAGGCCGCGACCACAGGTCGCCACAGGCGACCACACCCGCCCATTGGGCGCCGCAGGCGACCAGGACCACGATACCACGAGCACAGGGCGCCGCAGGCGACTCCCATCACACTCCCACCATCACCACCCTCCCTCGCGAGCCGTAGGCGCGGCGCAAACAACAGCGAGGGCGCCGCAGGCGACCAGGACCACGACTCCCGCAAATCAGGTGCCCGCCCACCCATAGTGCGGCAGGGTGCCGCAGGCGACCAGAACCACGACACCTGTCCACGGCGCCGCAGGCGACCACCATTGCTACCTTCCCTTGCGAGCCGTAGGCGAGGCGTACAACAGCGAGGGCACCACAGGCGACCACACCAGGTAGAACCATAGGTGAGGCCGCACCCACAGGCCGTCACAGGCGACCAGCACCACAACCACGACCACGCCGCCTGGTGGCCGCATGCGACTGCTGGAGCCTGCAGGCGACACCTCTCCCGCCCATCTCACATCCTCTACGAGCCATAGGCGAGGCGCAACAAAGACGAGCCACAGGCGAGAAGTGCGGACAGCGCATCACGGCACTGAGCCGCAGGCGACAAGCAGAACGGCAACCCAGCACCATAGGGCGCGCATCAGGCGCCGCAGGCGACGGCCGACGTCTCGCGCTGCGCACATTGCCTGCGCGCGCCAGCTTTCTCTCTGCGACCCTATGCGGACAGTGTGCCGCCCACATCCCCGTCCAAGGGTGTTGTTACTCGCCGCTATCTCCTCCGTGACAGCAAAACCAACGCCACACTACGTCTATCCGTCCGTGTGGAGCCCGTAGGCACCCCAACACCGTTAACCGCGCCTCCACTGCTTTAGCGCACTCATCCCGTACTCGCGCGGCCACCCCGCCCCGACATCCACTGAGACTGTGGTGCTTCAATCCTCTGAATCTCGCCATAGAAACCACCTGTAGTACCATATTCTTAATTACACATTTTTACAAACAATTATGCAGCAACAATAGCCTGCATGCATTTTATGAGTGGCTGTGTGATCGTACAATGCACGCAGGCGATTTAGCGTGGGAACCGCTATTGCTTCTCCCCGCCAGTCGTCCAAGAGCCCGCCCCAACCGCCTGCCTCCCCGCGCTCGACTTAGTGCAAAAAGACCAAAACGAATGGCATTACTGTGGATCGAACACAGGACCTTCAGATATTACTGCGAGCATCCAATTTCGGGCTACTCTCTTCAGTCTGCTGCTCTCCCAGCTGAGCTACAACGCCGTGTTGTTTGCTCCCAGGACTGGTTACACCTTCAGATGATCTTCTTTGCTTCCTCGTTTACTTCAGTCTGCTGCTCAAGACGCCGTTGTGGAATAATCAAGTTGATCAAGAGAGGATGAAAACATCAAGCACAAAAGTAAACTTTAAAAATCAATCAATTCAGCCATGCAACACTCTGGGTACGCACCCGGGTATGTAATGGTTGGATTGGGTGCTCTTGAGTGGGGGCAGAAAGTACTAAGTAGTGGGGACCACTTTCTTTCCTTCCCTCCTTTTTTGTCATTTAAGTATTTACTCGGACGCATACATGGGTCCAATCCGCGGGTTTCCTTCCCTCATTCCTTTTCTTCGTCCGCAACGCGCTTCGACAGCGTCCAAGCGTGCTGTCGCTGTCACCGGGCTGTGCTCCACGAGGCTTGCTTGACCTGGCATTCTCGCTCTTCTCTTCTACTTCTACGTCCACTACCAACACGATCTGGCCCACATCCCCTGCCCACATCCCCTGTCGTTTGAGTTCTGTCTTCGAGCCTCCGGTGCAAAGAAAGTTCGGTGATACAGGGCGGACAGTCACGGAGGTGCTTTATGCATCGCGACACAAACAGATCCCAAACAATCAATGTCTCTGGTGCGGTGAGCCTAGTTGGGACGCGAACAGCACTTCTTATGTTTATACAGGGGGAAAAGGAGGCCATGGAGGAGGAGGCGGCACACAAGGTCGCGGTGGTGCTGGGGGTGCTGGGACCGGGCCCATCCTCAACAACGTTTTTGAAGCAGACACAGTCCGAATCGTAATGAAGTACGAACCATTATCTATCCCAGTGTCTGTTCTCAACGGTGGTAGTGACCACCGGACTTTTCATCTGAGCGGGGAAACGGGAGTCGAAATTCCCCGTCGCGTGGTTACCTTGGGGGCACTGGATGCTGGTGCAGATCCTACGCCGAATCCCGATTCTGATGGTGCAGCCTCCACTCCCCCGCCTTCTTTTCCTCACGGCGGAACATTCATTACTGCAACAAACGTTAACTATTGTAGGCCGAAGCGCCCTCGAGAAGAAGACATTGATGGAAAGTTTTCCCTCTGTTTGAACAGAATACTACCCGCTCACACGATTTCGCCGTGTAGATGACTCGTTGACTCAGCGCGAGTATAAACGGCGGCGACAGGAAGAGGACGGATTTGAGGTCAGCAAAGCCTACTCCGCGAATGGTCAGTGTTAAAATTTCAGCAGATCATCCAAAACACAGACATTACACTTAAATGCGAGATTGGAAGTGGCCGTGGATACTTACTCCATGTTGGTCAGAATGAAGGCCGTGTTTTTATCGTCAAGGTTTTCAATAAAAGCCCAACTGCTCGACAGGTGAGCGAGGTCGGGATCAACTCTGCTGCAACTCATTGGGTCAAGCAACTGGAATCGACGGTAGCTTTTTCGAAGGGACTCATGTGCGTATAATTTTCGTCGTTGCCGTCAATGATTCACGAGTTGTCCTGTCTCAGGCATCCGAACGTCCTCCAAATCAAAGGCATCTCTCCGCGAGAATCTTTGGTGCACTTTATAGCGTATGAAAACGGTAAGTTGGTCCAAGGTAGTGCGACTGCTCCAAAGATTGATACGTCAGTCAGTTCATTGGAAGAATGCCGAAGGTTCACTCGCAGCGGCCCTCAAAGAAGACCTCGACAGGAGTGTCACGCTTGGGTTTAAGATGGTATGCAATGTATGATATTAAACTACGCCCGCTCATATGCGGGTTTTAGATTGCAGGAATCGCTGTGCGTCGTGACTCTGCGCTATTGATTGTTTCGATTTATTGTACTGCAGGCAGGGATGAACTATCTCTCTAAGCAAGAGGTATGCCTAGGATCTATGGGAGTAGAGGTGCGTCGGAAGATCGGCTTTATTACCTGAAACGCTCACTACCCTCCAGAATTTCGATGTTTTTCTCGACCTCGACGACCGGTTCTTGATTAGTATCAATCCACCTTCGCCAGATTTCCCTGCAGAGTATCAAGAATCGCAAGAAAACAGGTCCTGGCATGTCTTCAATGCGCTCTGCCAAAAGGTACAATACTTCCCGCATGAACAAATGTCGGATATTGACCCTTCGGAGGTTTTAAATTCTGCCAACCGCGTAATACATAGTACGTTTTCGTGACTATGGATTCCGGAACGTTCTCATCGATGTTGCCGCAGAGGAGGAAATTAAGAGAGATCCATTGCTGACACTGGATTTGTTACCTCCCAATTCCGCCGCTGAAAATCTGCTGGGGCCGTTTCTGTCGTTTGGGACAATGAGACGGGGTCTGCAGAAGGTTGCCAAGGCGTTTCTGTCACAAATCGTCCAACCTGTCGAGCCCCGGCGGGAATACGTCTGGCGGACCATGGATCGTGGACAGCAGTCTTTGGCGACTATTGCACCCCGAATCACATCGGATCTGGAAATGAACCTCTCATCTCTACAGAGGTTGAGGGTGCCGGACAAGGCCAACCCCTACGCACATCGTTGTACGGGATACATCCGTGAGGAGATCACGCTGGCAACCAGGACGCTTGATAGTGCTGTCGTGGTCCATGACACTCCGAGCGCCCTGGAAATTTGCCCCATTTGCCTCGAGGTCGTTGCTCTTAATATCCCGGAGGTAAAGCCTGACATATAAAACTTGACCAAGTATGAAACTGACAAGGGCCAGCCGCCGCAGGGCCAGCCTCAGCACGGTGGGCCACCGCAGCTCGGGCCGCCACGCGGGCCGCCTGGCGCGCAAGGGATGAAGCTCGGCAATGATGATGAATCAGATGATGATGATGAAGTCAATTTCCACCCGGACGTGAACGCCAACGCGCTGAACACGGTCAGGATGCCGCTGCCGCCTGCGCCGCCGAGCTCGACAGAGAACTTATTCACCACCGAGTTCATCCAGAGCGTAGCGAACGGGCTGGACGAGTTTGTCGACGTGGGGCTGTTCCGCGGGGACGGGGATTTGAACTTAGAGCGGGACTTTGGGCAGTGGTTCAACCCCGACGACGAGGGGATGGAGCTCGGCAAGCCATGAGTTGTTGGGTTTCGCTGGTGTTGGTCGGGGGGTGGATGCGGGCGCAGACACGGACGCGGACGGACGGAACGAGCGAGCGAAACGAACGTCGGAACGAAACTAATCGGATTCATTTCTCGGTGACCCCTTGCTTCCCTCTACCCTGTCGCCTTTGCATCTCGCGATTTATTTTGTGCTTCCGGTGGACTTCAGTCTGCTGCTCTCCCAGCTGAGCTAAGACGCCATTGTGAAATAAACAAGAGAGGATGAGAAGATTGAGCAAAGAAGTAAACTCTTAAAATCAATCAATTCAGCGGCAATATTCTGGGTACGCACCGGCCGGGTATGTGATGGCTGGATTGGGTGCTGCTCTTGAGTGGGGGCAAGAAGAATGGAGGGAGAGTGGTTGAAGCGGTAATTAGATCTAGGGAATTGAATTCTGCCGTCCGATCGCCGATCAAAAAAAATTCGGAAAGCCAACTTGAGTCTTAAAGTCACGCCAACAGGAATCTGCGTATGTACCGGATGTATGGAGGACTCGGCTGAGTTCGAGTGAGTGCGGAGACATGGGGTTTGAGTTTGTTGGGCTTTACCATTCGGTCACGATCGACGATCGCTGGCGCCCATGTTCAAGTTCGGCGCTTGAGTGGTACATATGAAGGCAACAGAAGTCGAGGAAAACGTCTGCTGGGCTTCCAGCCGAGCTATGAGCCGTAGACATGATTATTTTGTTCGCTGAAGATGTGGCAGGTATAATCTGTTCACAGAAAACATGTATCTATACACCGGCGGGTCGGCTTTGTGCGAGCAGACGTCGTCAATGGATACGTGTATTGCGCTTTCGCAGTAGTCGAGTCGCCGATGGGCAGCCCGAGGATTCAAATCCAGAGACCCCGCGCCCGTTTGGGGTTCGGATATGTAAGCGCTAGCACTAATGAGCAGTGGCACTGACCCGTTCTCGGCTTGCCGTACATGTGTTGCACCGCGGTTTTAAATGGAATGTAAGTAATTAATTGAATACATACATACATGTGCTGCGGCTCCAGGCGGGTGCTGAGCATCCCTAAGGTCGTGCAGACTCCGCGAACTCGAGATTGAGTTGGAGTGGATTGGATTGGGCAATCAATCGAGATTGAAGTTGATGGCTTGAGGAGCTACGGTTTTTGCAGGTGGCGCAGAAAGAAAATAAAAATAAAAATAAAAGGAGGGGTGTTGAAGCGAGCTGATCGTCAGCACCTTCATGTAAACGGGCCGCGATCACGGAAAAACCCACTTGGCCAAGCCGACGATCGGCGGAGATGTGGGATGTGTATTATCGGAGTGGAGCTCGGGTTCGGTGGGTTGGGTTGGACGGGAAGTCGTGAAGGAGTTTGTTGAAGAACTTGGACACCTTTTGATCGACGAGGCACGTACGGTTTTCTTGCCACTTGGGGGACTCTGGAGGAACATTTGTTTGAAGTGATCTGCCTCTGCCAGGACCCAAGTTGAAGTAGCTGCAAGAGACATGCGAGGTCAAGTTGAATGAGATTTATGGACGGGCGATGAGACGTCCCGCAGTATCGCAGGGGTACAGTGCAGCGTGGGCGAGACAGAGAATGTGGACTGCCCCGTGAGATGGAATCTGCGGGCAAACAAGGCCGTTGGTCGAAATGCTGTTCGGTGAGCAGGGTAGATAGAGAGGGCATAGCAGGGCAACAGACACCGACGTCATGTCCTGCGTTTGAATACTCCTCAGCACTTTGAATGCTGTGTTGTGATTAACTTGCATGCTCTGCTGCGGGACGGTATTAATAACGGGAGTCTCGCGAGTCCTGAATATGTGAGTGAGTCAGGACAGTGCACGATAGCAAGGCCGAAGCAGATTATACGCGGAATACAACTGGAAGATATCCAGCGTCTGGGGTCTGCTACGTTGGAGTGAGTCGGGCGGGGTGGTCGCCGGGCTGTACACGCTGCGGGAGTTGCGGGTTGC